ACTGAACAACAGATTTTGAAGAGATAGACCTGTTGAGATTTAGACCTGTTGTTGCTTCATTACCGATTTGTATCAATTCTGCACAAATCTAAAAATGAAATAACAGAACAACACTTGAGAAGAGGGTAAGGGCAGCACATCATGTGCATAAAGAGGCATGCTCAGCTGATCTGCATGAATGCATACAACCTCTCCAATGAACTAGATGGAAGGAGCTTTTTGAATCACCCAAGAACATTAGTGGTCACAATTCAGTAATAACAAAGGAATAACTTACCCTTTCTGAGCATCAGGACTCCGTTGAAACTCCAAAAGGAGGCAATCTCCAAGTAGAGATGCTTCCCCTTTGGTAGCCAGCCCTTAAATGAGGTAAGGGAAAGGTGGACCCTGGGTCCACACAGGTGGTCATACAAGTGAATTGCTCACACCTGTGCTCCCAAGGCTGGTCGCACCCCTTCACCAGGTGTTCAATCACTGGTTCAGGCTTTGAGCTAACAGTTCCCATACAGAGCTCATTTACTTTAAAAATAGAATCTGTTTGTAAGAAAAAATAATTAGCAAGATTAGAACCACTAGAAAATAATTTCAGAAAGATAGAATTTCTCCCTCTCATTGCTATCAACCCATATGCTGTAAAGACAAACCCCAGAAAGCTGCTTATGCATAAAAACTTTTGTACAACAGAAAGATGAGGGAGATTGCTTTGTGAGGTTTGTGAGGATCTTAAGCACAGCTGACTCCTCAAAAGTTTATCAACTCACTCACCAAAACACAGAAACCTTTTTTTCCAGCAACGTTCTGTTCTACAATTACTGAACTGCTCTACAAGTTTGTCACATTATAGTTCATTAAACGTGGCTGGATTTTGTCGTACTTTTATTTCACGAAAGTGGTTGCATATATACTGTTTACATATTTGTGAGGATCCAAAATTATAAAACCTTTAAAATGGCTACCCATTGTATCCAACACCAAAATCTCACCTTTTTCTTTTTCACTTGATAAAAGTTTTCACCCACATTCAAAATGTTCATAAAGAGCCAACTGTGACATAGCATTATAAGATGTTATTTTGTGCAAAACACCAAATCTGCACATGGTCCAAAAAATAAAAAGCTTCTCTCAGGTTTGATTTCACTCAGTGAAGTCACTGTTTTACAGTCTACGTGCTAGGGACAGATTTCATTCAGCATTTTAAAAAGTTTGTGTAGTTCTGTCCATTATTATGAAAAGAACTATAAACACATTAAAAAAAAAAAAAAAAAAAATTCTTTATCCATTAAGTGTCTCATAGGATTCCAGGCCACCTCCTCACACATGTGTAAGCGAAGGCTGAAGAACTAACAAAAACAAGGACTGATTTTATCTCAAGGTTATGGAAACACCATTAGACTATAAAACCATGGTGTCAAAAATTTATCTTGACGTTTGAAAGAGTCTCAGTGGAGTTAAAAGCTTATCATGTAATTAACTGTAGATAAGTATGTTTAATACTGAGGATCAGAATTTAAAAACAGCCACAGCCTTGATAAACAGCACATTAAATACACTGGAGCTTCCAAAGAGTGATCAGATAGCAAGAATGAAAAAAAAAAAGAAAAAAAAAAAAATTATCTCCAACAACAGTTGTTACAAGAGCAAATTGTCTAGTGAGAACAGTGCAAAGCTCTAAAAAGGAAAGGTACATTACCCTTCTGAAACCCATTCCCATCCAGTTCACTTGATATTTTCCACTTGAACTAAAAATACACTGGGCTGAAATTCTGTCCCCACTTAAAGCAGTAGCAGAATTTTCTTTGATTTTTCACAAGATTGCACTCAAGAGGACTCGGCCTTCTGAACATCACAAGTAAATAAAACTATAATTAATTTTCCACAAAGACAATAGCAATGGACAGCAGAAACTGAGGATTATTTAAAAGAGGTTCCAAAAAACTCCTTTGACCTAAAACAGGTTGGAGAGCTTCCAGTAATTATCTGGAATTTTGTCATCTCACTGCAGGACAGATTTTCTCTCTTGTCTTGAGGTCTGTTTATTTTCTTTCTTGAGGATCCAGCACCAAATAGAATAAAAATGACCTCTGATGGGGGTTATTTTGTGGCATGCAATAAAAAAAGTAATCCAAAAAAGTTCAGTAATAGGCACCTACTGAACTTGAAAGGAATGTTGGAAGAGATTGGGAAAACAAGATTACATCTTGAAATCATGTGTATGTAGTATTTCTTTATTCTACGACCACACATAGTAGTCATCACAGCTGGTCTTTTCTGAGAGTTACACTACAGAGAAGAGACCACATCAGTCTTTTATCAGAGACATACAATTCCAAACCCTATTTAGCTTGGAGGTAAAAGGAGGGAAGGAAATAAAGAAGAAAAAAAGAGGATTTTTTCAACTGACACTCAGCTTATCTCCCAAGAAACATTCTATAAAGTGGGATAAATATAATGCAACACTCATCTGACAATCTAATTGGAACAGCTGTAGATTACCACACTGAAAATTAGACAGTGACATCAAAGGTCTCGAAAGGCATTGTGCCTGACAGGAATTGAAGCAAGATGCTCGCTTTACTTGCAGGTATAGAATATGGTTATATTTAGTCAACAGCTCCTTCCTCCCAACAAATTCACCTGTGTAGTCAGATTCTTCCTTTCCATTTGCCACTTTTTTTTAAATTTTAAATTAGCAATATGAAGTAACTGTGGCCATGGTAGGTCTGTGTCATTTGCCCAACCTTTTTCCTTTTTTAGGGAAAATTGTCACACAGGCTGACTGTTAAATGAGCCAAGGAAGAAGGAAAGAACTTCAATCACTTGATCACCTCTGAACTTATAGAATTTAAAAAGAAAGAAGGAACAACTTGAAAACTTGGTACTTTACAGTGCATTCAATAAGTTCCAGTGAAAATACATTGAGTTAAAAATGTCTTTGTTTTCACATAATGGAGCAAATGTTGTCTACATTAATTAATCATTCTTCATTCTCCAGTTAACAGGATTTGGAGCTATGAAGTCCTACCTTTCATTCTTCCCTTGATCCTCTCTTGCATCACTTGACTAAAATACACGGGAGGGAAGAGGATGTGTACAGAGGCAGATGATTGTGTATACATGCACATCAAAAATTCTAAAAGCTTATATATTTTTTCCACCAGTGCTCCAACATACTGAGCAATCCTCACACTGCTTCTACAAAGTCACCACATTATCCAAATTCAAATGTCTCTCCTATGGTTGAGAATGTGTGTGTGAAATTGTGAGCTAATAGTTCGTTAAAAGGAGGAGTTATAAAACTTTCTCCCCCATTGTGCAGCCCTGTCTCTTCTCTGCATTTGCCAGAAACAGTTTTGCTGAGTTTGCCTTGTCCCAGAGAACAAATCTGCAACTTCTTTTGATGGGAAAAATTCTTGTAGTTGGGCTGGTGGGCAGATTAAACGTGGGGAGAGGTCAAGCATGGTCCAGAGCCAGAACAGAGACAAACAACTCACAGGTGGGTTGAGGGAAAGTGCAGAACTCATACTTTCTTCCCACTGTATCTTGGTTGGCTCAGTTCAATCTAACATAATTTCACTGAGAAAAAATAAATTTCTATCAATTTCTAAGTAAAAAGAGCTTAACAATGAGCTGAAATACCACTGCTTATCACAGGTCTAACAATGTGATAAAAATGTGATTAACATCTCACACATTCAATAACAATCTAAAAGAAATCAATGAAAGAACTGTGGCCAGTATCCTAAGCTTATTGTTAAATGGAGGGCAACAACATCTGTAAACAAATTCTTACAAGCTATAACTCAGCTTGAACCAGTTAAGCGATGATCATTATCTGATATCCAGCCTTATCTTCATCTGTACAAATACTCTAAACCAGTTAACCCAGAGCACACATTCCATATGAAATTCATCTGGCAAATCAGATATGCCAGGCTAAGACAGTAAGAGAGTCTGACTAGAGACTACTTCTGGCATGTTGTCTTTTCCCCTGTAAGTATAGTTCAGCCTGCACATTTTTTCTAGGAAAATCAAAACCTTACATCATAGCAGTCCAATCACTAATAAAAATTCCAGATAAACAATACTGTTGACTGTATTACTCCTATTACCCACAGCAAAAGCAGATTCCACTAGCGTACAAACAGATTGAAAAAAACTGCATTTTTTAATTTCAGTAGAAGAGGCTCTCTTATTTGAACTAGAAGTAAAACATAAAGAGAGTTTGCTTCTTTCATAACAAAACACTACGTAAAACTACTGAAGTGTGCATGAGTTAAATCTTATGCTAGTATTTAACAATAAGAATTTTTTTAAAATTACTCAAGTTAAAACTATGAGTATTCTCCATATGACATACTTCTATTTGTACTGCTCAAGTTAAACTTTCTAACGTGAAAGCAATAAGAGAAAAACAATTATATTTATTTAGTAATGAAACAAACATTTTGCATACTGTGCAAATGAATTTCAAATACTTTATCATGTAGCATTTGAGATGGACGTGACCCATATCCCATGTGGGATACACCACTGCCATAAAGCACCCATTAGCACATATTACTAAATGACAAAACAGACTGAAGCCTATCTAGAAACATAAGACAAAGGATTTTGCAGAAAATTTGTAGAATGATGAGTGATGCTATATGCTCTTCATTACCATTAGAAAAACTACATAGGTTGATTTATTCAATTGTGTGGGTTTTTAAGTTTATCAGTTCAATGTGCTTGTTTTTTTTTTCCCAAGAACATTAACATGATAATTTGAAAAGGGAAAAGGAAAAAAGCCACTGGATGCTACTTTCACTTTTAAGTGTTGTAATTATATAAACCTACGCTTTTTCGTAAGTAGTGACTGAAAAAAAAAAAAAAACCAGTTTGATTTTCCTAGGTTAAATATCAATCTGGATGCATCCGCTGAACTCCTGCTCAAAAATAAATCAAGAACACAAAGAAAGGATAATTTATGAGTTGTCAAGTAACCACATTTTAATACTTACTTTTGTGAAGATCTGAAAAAAGTCAATTGCAGGTGGTAAGTGAGATGCATCCTGGATCTCTGCTCTCAGATACAGTTGCAAGGTATGTGCAAGGTGCCTGAGGCCCTCTTTCATTTCTTCACTTAGTTGTTCAGCATCTTAAAGGGAAAGGAAAAGTACACCAAGGTGTAAACAGAATCTTTCACCAACATCTTGAAAATGTACAGTGGCAGTTATACAGTCTAGACATTTCCAGTTTTAGAATTAATCTTGGCAGAGGGCAATTTTGACAGAGGGCAAACGTTTATCTTTTTTGTTTTTTTTCCCTGACAACTATCTATCAACACAAAGAAGAGTTTATCACTTTGCTACTACCAAACGGTATAAAGAAAATGGTGAGTTAAACATCAAAAGCCAATAAAGTAGATGCATAAACAGACATAAGTCATTAGTACAAAAAATAGGCATCTAGGTTTGTAACATATTCTCCATAGATGCATCAGAAACTTTTATTCTAGCAGACAAGAAATATTTTAGAGACAGAGGGAGTTTTGTACGCAGCAGCTGCTAAACAGAATGGATAAGAAGGAGTATTAAGCAAATATCATTCCTACATTAAATAATAAGGCACCATTATTCATGCTTTGCAATATGAATCCTGAAAGAAATACAGCAATGTGTTTTCTAATGAAGAGACCACCCATGAATCAGGTAAATGATAACATGGAAAGTGAAACTCAGCTGCCCTATTAAGTTCAGTGTCGTCTTACTAACTTGTTCACATTTCTCTTTTCCTGCCAGTTAGCACAAAGCAAATGCTTAAATGGAGAATGTGAAGATGGACAAGTTCAAGAATCAGCCATAACAAAAGGCTAAGAGGATAATTGTGCACTATGAACTAACTTCATCTCTGCACAATAGTGAATTGTTATTACAATTTAAACATTTATCTTTATTGAGAACAGAAATAACCTTTCACTAAGAAAAGCTCTTCCCCATACTTTAGATCCATGACTGCTGATCTCATGGAAGGAGGATTTAAAGCTACCTCTAATGATTCACTTAACAAGAGAATGCAGTTAAAGCAGATGCCTCTGGGTTTGATTAAATAGCCAGCTAATGGTACAGTTCTCAAGCTTCTGTGTTCTATCACATCCAGCATCCCTGAACTTCAAGGTTCAGGCTGTTCTGTAGATACAAATCCAAGCAATGCACAGAGTTTCTTCACATACAGTCTTCTTCATGTTTTGCACTGCCTGGTCCCAAAGCAGTCAGGCAGTCCTTGAAGATGCTTCTTACAGCAGGGTCACTGCAAAGACCTGTAGCAAACATCTTAATGTACACAGCAACTTTATGAAAAGTTTTGAATGCACTTGTCTGGTACAGTAAAGGTACTGAGAAGCAGTTACTGCAAGAAGTTCAGCCTCAAGTGCACCACAGTTCTGCAAGACAGCTGCTAGAGGGAAAGGTCAGACCTTCAAGCAAAAAGAAAACTGGGACAAGTTTGATAGAGACCTTTAGCAGGAAGTTCAGTGCAAGAGTTGGTGAAGGATGAAGGCCACATGAGTGTGAGTGTCCTGAATCCATATTCCTAGGTTCCTAGGATTGCAGAGTTTCAGATAAGTAAATGGTGGACACATTTATTTTTTTTTTAATGGAGCCATGGGCTCTGAATTCCACACTGAAAGCCACACTGGGAGTTGATAGTTTTATCATAGGATTCATTAGGCCATAAGCCTGGGAAACACACACAGTATCACCATCCTGATCTGGCACACCCACAGCTGAGGTCTCAAGCCAGAATTCAACCTCATGAGCTGTGCCAGCTGAAAATAAGCAGAACCCCTAAAGCAGCACTGAGTAGATGCACCCAGTGAGAGCCACGTTTCTACAATGCAACAATGATCCAAATTTATCTTAAAATGTAGAACACCAGGTGCCTTGAAGATACATTTATTCACTCTACACTGGTGTTCAGTAACTGAATTTACAAGGGCTGGCAGAATGGTGCAGTCCTCAGCAGATGACACGAGTGTCACATCTGATGCCAGAGTACAGTGAAAGTGACTATGATGGAGCTTCCACTTTACACACAACACACTAGTGAGCTGCTTTCATTATCTCCCATGAATCCCCTCTGGCAGAGCACTGTGTGCTGACTTGATTACCAGAATGAGCCATGGCTATTTACCAACTAGATGCCTTGCAGCAGAAACAGCTGGCAAGCAAAGGCAACTGTTTCCTTCCAGTTTGGAATGGGACTCCTTACCTGAACACTCATTTGGGGCCACTGAGGACCATTCTAGTTAGCTGGAAGATGCAATCCTACCAACACACCATATTAGAGCAGAAGTACACATCTTCCTGCTACGCACTGCTATTGTAATATATTTGTTTTCCATTCCAGTAAGAGTTAGCCCTTTCTTCAAGATCTGCTCCCATTCCAGGGTTTAGGCACTCCTATCTAAAAGCCATATCTGGGCTTAGTCAGTCACGTGCTGAGGGTCAGGAAGGACAGGCAAGCTCTCCCACAGCACTCAGATTCAGCTCAGAAAGTCTGCGTCACTCACCCAAAGGAACACAGAGATAAAGCTCCATGTTAAGTGGCACAAAAACTACGTAACTGAAGGATTTGCTTTTTTCATAACTACTTCTCAGCATCTTAACAGCATGGACATTTGAGGGTGATCTTGCAAACCTGAATGAACGTACAAGGACAGAAATGCAGACGTACTTACTGTTCTTTCCAACACACAAAACCTCCAGTATAGAACAGCTTGAAGACTGAGTCTTCAAGCAAAGTAGCAAGCTTTTGGATGACTGGAAAACTCAAGTTTAAAAAAAAAGTCATACATTTGTGCTTGCTGTGTAATGTTTCTTTGACACTGAAGAGGCTTTTTCTTTCAAATGTGTTATTTCAAGAGAGCAGGGAGTTTTGAACTTTCGTTATTATTTCGTTAAGAGGCAGGCATGATCTGCTTTACTATTAGCACATATTAGTACCTCTAGAATAGGGAACAGTAATAATCTAAGCAACACAGCTTAAATGGACACTGTGGCATAGGACAGATATGAAAAAGAATACCAAATCCAACTGGAATACCAGGGAGAGACAGGAACAGAATGCAAATTATTCAAGCTGGACTCTGTTCAGGGCATTAGAGCTAATGATCTCTGCAAAAAGTCCCACGGGATCCAAACAACCAAGACCTGGTTTTCACAACTCCTCATGAAATCAAGGCAAAAAAAACAAAGTGAAATAAAAATGCACGAATGTTTTAATTGTGTTTTTATAAAAAACATTTTTAATGGTAAAAACTGAGGTGTGGGAGAGAAAATGCTACAAAAGGCTTGTGGAAAGTTTTCTAAATCAAGCATTGGGATTTAATTATGCAGCCTGACAGCTCTGATACAAATATGAGTAAAGTAGCAAAAAATCATCCAATTGTACCACACACAAACACTTGTATGCATGCTGAGTCTTGTTAAGTGTAAGCAAAGTTGATGTCTACATCATTTGAATTACTTTAATACACAGCAAGATAGGAAAGCCTTGGAAGTAACAAACTGTATGATAAACCAGAACTAGTGAAAGTCACCAAATACACAGACACACCTCCTACTTAATCAGATGTGAAAATAAAATGAATAAAAGCATACAGGTCATCCACACTGAAAATCATCCAACTATACCAAGTAACACTGAAAAAGTAATACTTTGAAGAAACAGGGACAGGGTAGTGACAATAACAACTTTCAGACCTTCTTGACTGAAAAGATTACAGTGTTGAAACAATACTGTGTTGTACAGACACTTCCTGAGAAGCTGTTTGCCTCAGAGGATTAAATCAAATTCTTTTCCCTATAAGCTTAGAGCTTTAATGAAAAAAAAATGACTTTCAAATACATTCTAACAATATTGAAGGAAAGTATATAAATCTTTATCAACATGATCTGTAAAATGTTCAGTAAATAGGAAGAAGTGTCATGAAACAACAGAAATAACTGTTAAAAGTATGACAGTGACTACAAGTTGCCCCATCATACCACAGCCCTCTTTTGGACCATTCTAAATGAAAAACAGTAGAGACGGTTCAAGCTGTATTAAATCCAAGCCTCTGAATAACATTAAAAAAATTTGAGATAATAAATACTTTTATGCTATTTTCTACAAAATCCCTTCAAACAAGACACAGGATTCAACCAAGGATGCATTTCCTATTCTGTAAGTCTTCATACTTCAAAGTACTGCAAAATCTAGGAAAAAAAAGCTTCCTGTCTCAATTATCAGCTCTTCTGAGAGATTGTAATGAACCTCCTTTCCTACCCAAGCCACTGAAACTTATGGGAGCACAAAAGTATTTTTTCCTCCACTGAGAAGTCATGTTCAAAGCAAACATGTATCACATCCAAATTTAGATGTATTTACTTTTTCTGGAAGTTATTTTGAATCTTTAAGCAATAATACTATTGAAAAAAAAAATACAACCACTAATGAAATTTTTCTGTATTGAAACGGTATATAAAAAGGAAGATATTCAGTTCACTTTAAAAGCTGCATCAGCAAAATGTATACTGCAAAACGAGGAAAAATATACAGACTAAATAAGGTGAAAATTTTGCTCGAACAATACATGCTGTTTTTTTCCCCATCAATCCTTGAACATTGAATCCTTTCCCACAGAGGTTTAAACACAGTCAGTTTTGCCTTTAGTTTAGACTTTCCTGCCATATTCTATTACTCTACGTTAGCAGACTTTCAGAAGGCAAGCTGCAGTAGGGTAGGATGGCCGTTCTGTAAAACAGAAAATGGAAGCATTACCTGCAATACAGCTGGCAATTACTTACTTGACTGAAGATCTGAAAAAGAGTAGAGTCTCTCAGAAAGGCATGCTGATTGCCTAAGCTGTAGAGAAAAACAGATAATTAATACTTACACGGCATGTTTTATCTTGAAAACACTCTACGAAATTGATTATTCAATGTGATATGCCTGTAAGATAATTAGGTACAGGTAACTGCATCAACATAAATCTGGTCAGTCTATACTTTCTGTAAACTATCATGAAATACTACTTAATTTCTGATGTTATGACACTTTCTACTAGTATATTTTCTCGACTTTGGCAGTTTGCCCTTAGTAATTTACTGTGGCCCTTCATACTGTAATTGAAAGCAATTTATGAGGTTAGTAGTCTCAGATTTCATGAGACTATAATTAATGTACTGCATTTCTAGGTACATATTTGCCCTTTAAAAACCATCACGCACACACTGCTCCCAACAATGTATAAATTAAGATATTAAATTACATTCTATCATTCAGACCCCAATAAATGAATACATTTTTATTCAAGAAAGACAGTATCATGGCAGGGTCAGGAAAAAAAAAAAAAAAAAAAAAAAAAGGATTTATAATCTCAGTCATCAGCCTATTGATTTAACAGAAAATTTAGTCTGTGTAAATTAATCAAGCTGTGGGAATGTCAAAACCCAGGACTTTCAAGAAAAATTTAGGAAAAAAATATCCAATTGAGATTAAGGGAACCCAACATTAAAAGGAAGGGTTAACAGTGCATGCTTCTCTTTACCACTCATATATATTAAAAAAAAAATAAAAATAAACAAACAAAAAAAAAAAATCCCAGTGAACTTGATGGATGCACCAATAACTTTGATAGTATCAAACAAAAAACAGTGTGTTCTGTGCTTTCCCTCTAGGCAGAAATAAGTTTAGGATGCTGTGACAGCCATAGGAATAAAAACTTCATAAACAGACCTCTTGAGCTTAATTATGTCCATTTCAGTCCTCTTGAACCTTTTCACACTTCTGCAAATCAATCAGTAATATTTTAATGCAGTGTGCAGTCCAATTTTATTCAGCGATCCCAGTCACTTCAGCTTTCTAGTTCTTAATTACATTAAAAATGTAGAGTGAAAAAGTATTAACCCGAAACTATTACACTGAATATATCTAAAAGTATGTCACTTACTAGCTTAAAAACAATCCTGCCAGCAAGTCTGACAGAATCTGGAGGAAAATTAGGCTTGACATTCTGAAGGCACTTGCACTCCCGCTTGTGGTCCAGCCAAGCTTCTTTCTATCAATTTAAAAATAAATAAATAAATGGAAGAGAAAGAAAAACTTCATGTTATTGTTACTATTATTCTAGATATATTATATACATATACGCACACACACTCCTTCATACATACATTGTTTCACTGTGGGAAGAAGATAGGGAGCTCCCTACCCTGGAGATTAGAAAGGGTGCTACAATATGGTTTTTTTCCTTTTTCCTTTTTTTTTTTTTTTTTTTTTCTTTTCCAAGCTAGTATGAAAGACAGACAACAACAAATCTTCGATAAAGAGAAACTTATGCTGGAAGACAGAGGCAATGTCTGACCACCTTTTTTTTTTTCCCTAACTTCCAGCTTTCTAAGCTCAAAATTCTGCTCATGCTTAACAAAATCTCCAAGCTCATCTCATTAATACAGTACATCTTTACATTGTTAATATATACATATATTCACAGTATAGATCTGAAGACAATGAGCGATTTTTCAGACATTTTTATAAGCAAATTGAAAACAACAGAACAGTAAACAGCTGTTACAGTGATAAGAACTCAGAAAAACCAAAAGCTTCTGAAGGTGACTTCTCTCACAGATTAATGCAGAGAGGAAAACAAAAAATGAAATTCAAGAAAACCAGCTTCTACAAGGTAAATGCCACATAGGAAATGATAACATGTCCAATACAAAGCAATTATACATTCAGCAATAAAAAAAAAAAAAGAGGGAACATCTGTGATATGTACAAGTGCACATCACAGCTACACACACTGACATTTGAGTTATAAAGATTACAGAGGTCATTATGCAATTTTATTTTTTTTTAAAGCTGTGTTTATATGGGAAAACATTTCAGGTGGCCAGGCTTCGGCATCAGTGACACTCATTCTGTTTCACTGTGGGTTTTCCCCCACCTTTGGCTTACATATACTAAATAAATGGTATTTTTTATTTCTTTCAGTTGCATGGGAGATTTGTGGTTTCTTTTCCTATACCCACAGCTCGAGAAAGGGAAAAAAAATGACACCAAGAAGGCATTAATCCAAATATAGTTAGTGTCACATGCTGTCTGACAAATAAAAGGCAAGAATCTACTGCTCAATAGAAATACTCTTCTCTAGAAGAAACAAGGTCACACTTGTAAATGTCCTGATGTCATTCCCTGCAATATAATTACATGAGCATTTTTCTACTGCTTGAACTAAAATTGTTCTTCGGAGCAAGCCTTTATCTGTCGATTTTCATTCCTTACATAAATTCTGCACAGAATTTCAAGTATGCTGAATGTGACACCAAAATGATTAATAGCTTACCCAACCAATAAAGCCCTAATGAGACAAAACATACAGCACCACCCAGCCTAATATGCCACACTTCTCAGGGATGCATTTCCCTATGAGAATAACACTGAGAGCAGATGCTCTCTTCTAAGCAGTGCTTGGCAAAAGCTGATGCCAAGAAGAAATCTGTGGGATCCTTCTGCAGGAGGGATGCTGGAACAGAGACTGCTGCTCACTTCCTCCCAGGTGACCAGGGGAGAAGCAAAGTTCCAAATACATCAAGTATGATGAGATCAGAAGTATTCTTCCTATTCAGACAACAAACAGAAATTGCAGAACTACATGTAACTGTTAAGTCCTGTAACCCTACCTTTAAAGGCAGTCTCTAACGACACTTATTGGTGGGCTTATCTTGGTGCCACAGCTCTGAACTCCAAATGTCCTGGCTTTCAGACAGGGCTTTTATACCCTCTAAATGGCATGAGTACAGACATTGCCATGGAGAGGCATGGTCACCTGGTCTGACCCTTCTCCCTCCTTGTCAGGGAAGTGCTTCCAGTTTTTTCCAACAGATTTTTTCCCTGTTAGAAATGAACACTCCCAAAAAGAAGCAAGGGAAGACAAATAAATACTACAGAGCAGTGCTCACTGCTCCTCTTCCAGACTTCACTACGTTTAGGATCTCAAAAACAGAATCCTTCCTTTTACCTCCTCCCAAACCAGTGGCTAAGAAGGGAAGCAATTGAAGACTAGAGCTAAAAAAAAAAAAAAAAAAAAAAAAAAAAAAAGTGGGATTTTTATTTGTTTATTTTAAATTAAATCACAGAATCACATAATTGTAGAGGTTGGAAGGGAGTACAGGTTGGACTCACAGAGTCCAACTCCCCTGCCAAAGCAGGCTCCCTGCAGCAGGTTGCACACATAGGCATTAAATAGACATTTCAATAGTTTTTCATAATGACACATTCTGAATTCTGCCTAAAGGTCCCACTTGTCAGGGATTATCATCTACATCACTTGTCCCCAAACTGTAGGATGCACCAAATTAATTAACAGTGCCAGGAGATCACAACAGCAATTATGAGGAGAAGCAAACATGGTCACTCCATACATTTGGAGAGATACCCAGACTAACACTGCTAGAAAACAGCACTGAGAAATTAGGCAAATTAAGCATAAGCAGGTGAGAAAGGAGTTCTAGCAGAGAATTGTTGAGAAGGGACAAAAGTAAATGAGGTCCAGCTCAAAAACACATTTCAAATCAAAAGGCCTACATATAACATATGTATAATAGGCCTTTTGACTATTGTATGATCCCAAAATGAGAATTCAATCATAAAGATCAGCGCAAAGGATCTTTTCCAGCCCTACATTTCTAATATCTCCTTTTTTCTAAGTGTTAAAAGTGAAAGCAAGCAGCTTCAACTGGCCTAAGAGATAACAGAGAATTCTGAAATTTGACACAGTGCACTTGAAATTTTTCATCTTTAACATTTTCTACAAGCTAGAAATTCCAACTCCTCTTCTGTTTTGTCAGAACTTCTTGCTCTGCCCACATATCTTCTTGAAGGATAACATTTTTCAAGCTAAGTTCCAAGAGGCTAAATATCTTTTTCAAGGGTATTTCCTCCCCTACAGGTTAACACAAAGACACTTTTTATTAACCACTTGACACTTGAAACCACGTGAGGATTTCTACAAAACATTTTCAGCCTTAAAAATGGCTCATTTTAGAATCACAGAATCCTTAGAATTGGAAGAGACCTCTGAATGCCATGTAGCTCAACTCCCCTGCAATGAATTTTGGCCCATCCTATAACAGAAATTCCCTGCTGAGTGTACTTCAAAGTTTCATTCACAAAGTCTACCTTTATCCCAAATCCAGTTCAGCCATTCAGTTAATATGGGGTTTCAGTCTGTTTCATTGTGGTTCATTTTTGAAAGTCAGATTTTTACTTCAATTCTGATTTCATTAACTGTATTAATTGGAAAACTCCATAAAGCTAACAGACTTAAGCCTCAGTTAAGTGTTTTATATGGTGGGATTTATTTAATACATGTGAAAAATTAATCAAATCATTCTGCAGCTAAGTGTAAATTGTAAATCCAACAGCACAACCAATATTTCCAAGCTGGTCTGTTATTTAGTTATTTACAAGAATAAAATAATGCTGTTTTGCCAATATTCACTTTTTAAATGTGCAAACTCCAATTTGAGTCAATACCCTGCTGTTTATTTTGTTCAGCAATTATTTCAATTGTAAGGGAACAAACTAATGAATTGCACTGCAGCTACAAAGCCTAAGTAGAGCACAAAGCCCATGCCTTGGCCAAGGAGAGCTCCACTAACAGCTGTTGTAAAAAGAGCTACACAGTAGTTTAGACAGCTTATTGAAAGAAAAATGAACTAGGGGACAGTACTCAACAGAAAACAGATCTGCTTTGTCTCAGTTTTATCCGGATCATTTGCACAGAATTGTCAGTCTCAATAAATTCACTGTTTTGTCCATATAACTGAATTTTTTTTTCAGTTGTTCTCAATTGCTATCTACTACCAAAAGAGACTGGGTGATATTAATTACACATTAATTCTGTATAACATTAACAGCACAAGATGCTGTGAGACAATAAATACACAGCATGTTCAGTGCTGATTACTTAAAGCAGAACCAGCCCTGTCTCCCCAAAATCAATACCTATAACAGTGGAGGTAGGGAAACTGGAGATGGTTTAAAGCATAAGAACCCTAGAGCTGGAAGCAAAAAACAAGAATATTCAAGATAACCTGAGGCTATCCAGTGTGAATCCTCAAAGCAAATTCACCTAATTGCTTTCCCAAAGGCTAAAACTCCATTTCCTAGTTTTGTTGCTATTACACATAGGTGAGAAGAGGCTATTGCATTACACCTTGTAAATTTGCTTGTGCAGGTCGGTGCCAGCATAGGGGCCATGGTGCCTCATTTCACATTAGAGAGTCATCAACGGAGGCTTTACCAATTACTCTCCTGACACACATTTGTTTTAAAGTTACCTTACAAATAACTCTGGTCTTCTATATTCTTCAGTTATATTTTCCTTGTGATTTCCTATAATAAATCTCTTTGTGGCACTATTATTGATGCTACAGCAAGCACCTAATGTACGTTGCACACATTTGCTGTACAATGAATCAAAATGTCTTATCTCCCTCCTTTCCCCCTCCATATGTTTTAATCCCCAAAAGAATGGGTTTTGGCATGTTGAGAGCATTGCAAATCATAGTAAGGCAGAATTGCTTCTAGTATCACATTGTAAAGGATCAACGAAAAACACATTGTGTGAGGGGACATGGCACACCTAAAGTGTGAAAGGACCACTTGAAGGTCAAAGAATTAAAAAGTTAGATTTCTATATCTGTAATAGAATATCACTACTGGTCTTTATTAACAATTATTTGTCTTCCTTAGACAAGCAAACAAAAAATAACCATGCACACCTAAGAGAAATTATGCAGAAATTAAATTTTTTGTTTGTTTGTTTTTTGTTTTTGTTGTTGTTGCTGTTGTTTTTTAAGGCAATCTTCATGCTTTGAATTTCAGGTGTCCGGTTTTCTGCCAAGTCACACCTTATGCAGTCATCTATCCATGTGTGACTATTCAATACCAAGGCCTGCCAACTTCTGTGCACAAGTTTCAGTTACAATATCAAACAGTAAAGCTAAGCTTCTAGGGTTGAACACTTTTCCAAGCTGTTTCATACAACAGAATAATAGGATAATTCAAATTGGAAGGGATCTCTGGAGTTCTCAAGTTGCAAAGTAGGGTTAATTCTGTGGTCAGATCTCACTCAGCAATTTATCCAGTAGGATCTGAAAACCTCCAAGGATGCAAATGGCACTATCACCATAGTCAGCCTGTTTCAATTCTTGGTTGTCCTCAGGGTCAAGAAGTTTTTCCTTACACGTCTGAATCTTTTTTCTTTCAACTTATTTCCATTGTCCCTCATCTTCCTGCCATGCATTTTGCAAAGTGCCTGGCTCCATCTTCTTGATACCATCCTTCAAGATACTGTTTTGTCCAATAATGCCTCTTACCTGCAAATACTCAAATCTTTCTTCCTCTTAAAACAAATGGGATATATACTTTTCCACAATAAAAATTACTCTTGAAATACAAATGGTTTTACTGCAGAATAGGCTTAGAACCTCCAGTCTGCAACCAGCAAGCTGCAGAATTCTTCCTCTCCCTCTAAGCACAGCCAAACACCACACATTTCATCTTAGCTCTGTCTCAGGAAATATAATCTTATATTTGTAACTGTAAGAATAATCAAAATAAAACAAGGCAATACACTCTCTATCCATAAGCGCAAACCAAAAAATATAGAGACGCGCCAATGTGGAAAATTCATGGAGACCCTGTAAATTAAGTATTTAAATGATTGTTTTTCTTCAGTACTTTATAGCTGTAATTCTTCATCTTACCTGACATGATTTACCACAGTATTTAGCAACTTTGCACTGAGAGCATCTGTGCAGATGTTCATTCCTGTTAAGAAAAAAAAAAATCTGTTAAAAATATGAGTAGAGCCTTATATTTATCCTTCTTACATAACTGGCAGTTTTCAAATATTGGAGGAAAAAAAAAAAAAAAAAGTACCTGGAGGAAATTAAAAAAAAAAAAAAACCTATAATGCATTGCAGCCCAGGAAGAAATTGTGCATTACATACAAAGCTGTTTTCACATTCCATTACTCGTATGACTTAATACACGTGGGGCCACCCTGAATTAACAGCAGAGATATCAAGTGTGACTTTTTTGTGTGTGTCATACAGCTACAATCCTAATGAGTTTGGGTTTTTAGATACCATTACATCTGCATACTTATTAAGTGTCTTGAGCATTGTTTTCAGCATCAGCACATCTTAAGCAAGACCTGATTGTCAAACTGCAGTTATGACATCAGATTATAACTTTATTATTATAGAGCCTCAACGTGACAAGTCACAGCAGAATTGGTGGTCAGTAAGACCAAACTAAAAATGCATTCAGAGGTGAAATAATGAAAATCTAATGAAAGTTAGGAGGATAACGTACAGAGATGCACAGCACAATCCAAGGGTAAAAAGTGTCTCCATCATTTTCTGATGTTGTCATAGTTTACAGTTATCCAAATTAAAAATAAAATATCACTATAGGTTTATAAATTTTCAGACATTAAATGTGAAAACATACACAGAGAACATCTTACACCTCAAATACGTGAATTCAAGAAGAAAGATTTACTCTAGAGCAGTAGAAAGGAGGCAAAGATTTTGATGTTCCTCTCCCCTTGATTTTCCGTAGAAAGTACTACACACAGATTTACAAAGAAGCAACATTCTTTGAATAGCTACTGTATGAAAACCACTATTTTGCTGCACAATATTTCGTAGGCATTCCTGCTGACTACCAAGAGAATCATATCATAGAATCATAGAATGGCTTGAGTTGGAAGGAATCTCAAGGATCATGAATCTCCAACCCCCCTGCCACAGGCAGGGCCACCAACCTCCCCATTTAATACTAGACCTGGCTGCCCAGGGCCCCATCCAACCTGCCCTTAAACACCCCAGGGATGGGGCATCCACAACCTCTGGGCAGCCTGTTCCAGCACCTCACCACTCTCTCTGTAAAGAATTTCCCTGACATCCAACCTAAATCTCCTCTCCCTCAACTTAAAACCATTTCCCCTTGCCCTGCTATTATCAACCCTTGTAAAAAGTTGATTCCCCTCCTGTTTGTAGGCTCTCTTTAGGTACTGGAAGGCTGCAATGAGACCACTCCACAGCCTTCTCTTCTCCAGGCTGAACAAGCCCAGCTCATGTTAAGTTTTTCATCCACCAGGACCCCCAGGTCCTTCTCTGCAGGGCAATTCTCAAGGACTGCTCCTCCCAGTCTGTATACACACCCAGGCCCAAGAGAATTACAAATTAGAAGTATTTCAGATACAAGCACATGTTCTGCTATTACATGCCATGCTAAGCAGCATGTTCCGTCAAGGACATGAAAGACTCATTTTTAATAAATGACCCACAAATTCTTTCTAGATGTTTTGCAATTAACAGCACAGATGAACACTTTGCTGAAGCTAGACATTTCAAATTACTGAAAGATGACACGACAAGAATTTCAACTTCTTTACTCACTGCTTTGTTCTTCCTATAAGTCTGTCAGTGAACTTTTCATAACATATTAATCATAGGCAATGCTATCAACAAAAAATCTGCCCACCAAACTGTGAAATAAAAATGAAAGAAAAAGAGATAGAGCTCTGGTATGCTGCTTAGCTGTTCATCTGCACAGCTGTAGTCCTCAAGTCTGCCACTCTGCAGCGTGCCTATGCTCTTTGCCATAGTTCTGCTCTATTCAGCTTCACAGAATCACAGACAACATGAGGGATCTTTCAGCCTCTCCTTTTCCAGAAAACTTCTTTTGTTCCACAATTCTACATCTAGTGAACTCCATCAAACTTCTCTTTATCACCTCTTCCTGTAGAATGACTTGGCAAAACATTTTTAAAACCAGACTTTTTTTTGTTCTAAATGCTATCCACCTAAACAGAGTTAGGGCTTGGCTAATACAGCATTAGTAATTTCAGTGACACGCACATTAAAGTACCAAAAAGGCCAAGCACGAGCACGCAGAAGACAGATTCTAAAAGCAGAGTAATTATAACTTTCTAGAGACAGATTTTAAAGGAATGGATGCCCATAAGTACTGGAGAACTCTCTCATACAGATTCCACATCCTTCCATCAGTCTAGATCTGACAACCTCAATAAACTACAAACACACCTTGTCAGGGTCTCTTTTTCCCAAAAGATGCCATGATTTACTGTAACCACTGATGAAGTCACCAACACTGGCTTATTCATTTTATAAAAAAGAAAAAAAGAAATAACCATACACCACAAAGCACCAAGCTTCTTCTGCACCCTCTGAAGTTTCAGTACTTCACAGGATTAGATTCCTTCCATCTTTCACCACAAAGGGTAAACAATGCTGTAGTGACAAACAAATACACGTAGAAATCGAAGGACTATTACTCTAAATCTGTTTTTTTTCCAGATTGACACTACCAGTCAGATTACTTGAATAAGATGATCCTTGCTGTCACTGTATAACAAATTAACAATCTATTCATCTTTTGGGGTTGTTCTCAGTGACAAGTAGATGTAGGACACCACTTACAGACCTGAACAGCACAGCTACGATAAAACAGAATCACAGAATCACAGAATCACAGAATCACAAGGTTGGAAACAACCTGCAAGATCATCCAGTCCAACCACCCTCCCATTCCTATCAGTGCCACAAGCTACTAAACCATCTCTCGCAGCTCCTCACCCAGGCGCCTCTTGAGCACTACCAGGGACGGCAACTCCACAACCTCCCTGGCAGCCATTCCAGTGCCTGACCACCCTTTGAGAGAAAAAGTTTCTCCTAACATCCAACCTAAACCTCCTCTGGTATAACTTCTGGCCATTTCCTCGGGTCCTACTATTTGCCTGGGAGAAGAGGCCAGACCCTTTTGCACCACAACCTCCCTTCAGGAAGTTGAAACGGTTGTTTTGAATTCCAGACCTCTCCCTCCTGGATGAAAAAAAATTCCTTTAGACTTATAGTATCCATGAATCTTGCAACGTGGCATTTTAAATGTAAAAAAAGAATGATTCAACCCACTTACTCTGAATATAAAGAATTCAAAAATAAGATTAATGTATTTGTGTATATATGATTGATGCATTTTAGGACATTTTTAAAAAATGAGACTATTTGCCTATTTTATTCCAGTCCTACACATTTTATTAACATTACAGATTACTGAAACAAAGTCACTGTCCAATGCAGTATCTACTGCATCCCACCAGTGTGACCCACCTGAGTCACAGACTGCAAAGGCTGCCCAGGCAGTGTCAGCACGGTTGGATGCTACCAGCACCACGCCTGCACCCATACAATATGCAAAACCTTGCCCTTTTGAAAGCATCAGATGAGCAGTTAGTAAGTACAACCCAACAACAACAACCCCAGTGAATGAAAGCACTTTTGCCTGCTGGGGAAGAGCCTAATACAATTATAAAACACAAAGAAACCCAAGCAAACACAATTAGGCTACTTAATTTATAATGGAAATGCATCCACACTTCTCTGGTGATTGCAGGCACTTGACTTTCAGCCACTGCACACCAGATGAGCACAAGATGTAACACAGTATTTGATTACCAGGCTGTGCTCACCTCTCCTTGCTGTACAGTTTATTCACACTTCTGATGCTGCCACAGATTGCACGATGAAAGGGCAATCTCACATGAATTCCCTATTGCATTTTTGTAGTTGATACTGCTTTTCAGTTAATAATCCAGCTCTATAATACGTGTCACAGAAGAGGTGCTCTTTCACATGCACATCATGTAGAACTAATTTCCTGAACAAATTCTTAAGCCTTTTATTCAGTCGAACACATCAAGTGCATGATGCTTACTTGGATTTTTCTGAGTGCATGCATATCAGACCCATCACACAGTGAAAGAAATCAATACCCACAGCAAGCAAACATGCCACTCATCATTTTGCTAACACAGCTTGGTCTTCCACTAATAAAAGTAAAGATGCTTATAACAAACTGCATTTTTAACTTGGTTGATCTGCGAGCAGTGGGTTACATGTGGCGCAGTGACCACCTTCCTTCCCATCCCTCAGCAGATGGAGAACAACACATAGCAGCAGAGCTGCTCATGTATGTGGGCACTAGCTATGCAGAAAGGCATCTGCAGCACACCAAAAGTGACAGCACAGCTCTGGGGATAAAGGCAAAAGATACAGGAGGACTTGTGCAGGGGATAACATGCCCAAGGCCTGCCAAGCACCTGCACATCCGAAATCCAAGTCCTTGGCAAGCAACAAAAGCATCTACCCAAGACCCAGGCACCAGTATCACGCGGCTCAGTCTACTGCAGAGGAGCTTCCTTCCCCCTTCTCCCCTGGCCCCAGACATCCTCTGTCATTACAGGCAGGTTTTGCAGGCAAGGAGCTGCTAGTTCCCCTGTCATCTGATCCTCTTCATACACAGGTGTAGGGTCCCACTTCACCCTTTGAGCTTACACAAGAATGATGTTGGAAATCCATGTTCTACAAAGTCATACAAAAATGCCCCATATTTTCCACTTGCATGCTTTACTGTGTTGAGAAAGCACATAAATTACTTTTCTAATGTAAAAGTAGCACTTGGGAGAAGTGGCATTTCAAGGGGTAGTTAGAACAGCCAATATTTAGAATTAAAAGGCAGTAACCACAGCTAACCATCAGACTGACTTATTCGAGTGAAAACTAAGACAGATCTTCTATATGAGAAAAAAAAAAATATTTCCAAATACAAGCATACTCTCCTTTACACCCGAAAACACTTCAGAAGTGGTACTGCATTGCTCAGGAAAGAAAGAAAACTCGTGGCAAGAGTTCAGACATTTGTGCTCTCACGTGAACCACCCAGTAACAAACATACAG